TTTAACAAAAACAAGTAAAAAAATACATATCGGCCAAACTGATGAATACATTTTTTTTAAATATTTTTTTGGATATGTATTATAGCAAAACAATTATTTAAAAATGTTATTTTTTTCTAAATTGTCACTCTTTTTTGGTTTATAGCGCAAAAAATAAAAACCGCAGAGGTGATCAAATACCACCAAAAAAAAGCTCTATTTGTTTGAAAAAAAGGACGCCAATTTTGTTTGGGTACAACGTCGCACGATCACGCAATTGTTAGTTAAAGTGACGCAGCGACAAATCGCAAAAAGCGCTCTGGTCATGAAGGGGGTTTAAGGGCCCAGTAAGCAAAGGGTTAATCAGGGCCACAGTGTATCGTCATAATCACAATCATAGCCTTCGGTAAATATGAGGGCCCAATGTAATCCAAATTATAAATATATTATTATATTATTGTCACTTTTCTATTAATATTTTTTTAACCCCCCTCAGAACTACTTTTCATAGAAAACGTTAAATTAACTTACCTTTTTTTGTTCTTCACTCCCGCGCAGTGCTGTGTTCTTCTTCACGCTCATTCAACGCTAGCTCACGCTGGTTTTGGCTCTGTCACTCCTCCCCCTCGCACACAGGAGGCCTGACGTCACCAGGCACTGTACTCATGGCGAGGCGGAGCTGAACCACGTTGAGTAGCTACGCCGTATAGTAATTCATAGTAATTCATCCCCCATAGTAATTCATCCCCCATATAGTAATTCATCCCCCATATAGTAATTCATCCCCCATAGTAATTCATCCCCAATATAGTAATTCATCCCCCATATAGTAATTCATCCCCCATAGTAATTCATCCCCCATATAGTAATTCATCCCCCATATAGTAATTCATCCCCCATAGTAATTCATCCCCCATATAGTAATTCATCCCCCATATAGTAATTCATCCCCCATAGTAATTCATCCCCCATATAGTAATTCTTCCCCCATAGTAATTCATCCTCCATATAGTAATTCATCCCCCATATAGTAATTCTTCCCCCATAGTAATTCATCCCCCATATAGTAATTCATCCCCCATAGTAATTCATCCCCCATATAGTAATTCATCCCCCATATAGTAATTCATCCCCCATATAGTAATTCATCCCCCATAGTAATTCATCCCCCACATAGTAATTCATCCCCCATAGTAATTCATCCCCCATATAGTAATTCATCCCCCATATAGTAATTCTTCCCCCATATAGTAATTCATCCCCCATAGTAATACATCCCCCATATAGTAATACATCCCCCATATAGTAATTCATCCCCCATAGTAATTCATCCCCCATATAGTAATTCTTCCCCCATATAGTAATTCTTCCCCCATAGTAATTCATCCCCCATATAGTAATTCTTCCCCCATAGTAATTCTTCCCCCATATAGTAATTCTTCCCCCATAGTAATTCATCCCCCATATAGTAATTCTTCCCCCATAGTAATTCATCCCCCATATAGTAATTCATCCCCCATAGTAATTCATCCCCCATAGTAATTCATCCCCCATATAGTAATTCATCCCCCATAGTAATTCATCCCCCACATAGTAATTCATCCCCCATAGTAATTCATCCCCCATATAGTAATTCATCCCCCATATAGTAATTCTTCCCCCATATAGTAATGCATCCCCCATAGTAATACATCCCCCATATAGTAATACATCCCCCATATAGTAATTCATCCCCCATAGTAATTCATCCCCCATATAGTAATTCATCCCCCATATAGTAATTCTTCCCCCATAGTAATTCATCCCCCATATAGTAATTCTTCCCCCATAGTAATTCATCCCCCATATAGTAATTCATCCCCCATATAGTAATTCATCCCCCATATAGTAATTCATCCCCCATAGTAATTCATCCCCCACATAGTAATTCATCCCCCATAGTAATTCATCCCCCATATAGTAATTCATCCCCCATATAGTAATTCTTCCCCCATATAGTAATTCATCCCCCATAGTAATACATCCCCCATATAGTAATACATCCCCCATATAGTAATACATCCCCCATATAGTAATTCTTCCCCCATAGTAATTCATCCCCCATATAGTAATTCTTCCCCCATAGTAATTCATCCCCCATATATAGTAATTCTTCCCCCATAGTAATTCATCCCCCATATAGTAATTCTTCCCCCATAGTAATTCATCCCCCACATAGTAATTCATCCCCCATAGTAATTCATCCCCCACATAGTAATCCATCCCCCATAGTAATTCATCCCCCATAGTAATTCATCCCCCATATAGTAATTCATCCCCCATAGTAATTCATCCCCCACATAGTAATTCATCCCCCACACAGTAATTCATCCCCCACATAGTAATTCATCCCCCATATTGTCTCAATTCACTTACCTTTGCTCCGCGCGTTCCTCTCGCTGTGTTCCCGCGCCGTTCTGGTCTTCAGGGCGGACTGAGAGAGGAGTTCGTCACTCTGCCCCGCCTACATCCTGGCTGCCCCACCTACATCCTGTCAGCCAATGTTCCACGCTCCGCGGGCCGGATTTTTGAGGAGGGAGGGGAGCGGGCGCGCCCGGCACACAGAAGAGCCGCATGTGGCTCGCGATCTGCAGCTTGCCGACCACCTGGTGGGCAGTGTGCTCCGGAGCCGCAGCAAAGATGTAAAAGAGCCGCATGCGGCTCTGGAGCCGCGGGTTGCCGACACCCGATCTAGGCAGTCAGAAGTGGAATTTGTCCTCCCTCCCCAAAGTCTTCTGGGACACTTGACAGGTCCCAGAAGACTATGGTACAGCACTACTCACGCATGCGCATTGGGAACCCGGCTTTGAAGCCGCAAGCTGTCACAGCCGGGTGCCCACACTGAAGATGCCAGCACTGGGGAGAGAGGACAGTCGGTGAAACCAGAAGTGGTGAGGACACTGCAGGATCGAGGGACAGGTGAGTGTCTGCTTATTAAAATTCTGCAGCTACAGTTTTTGTAGCTGCTGACTTATTTTTTTTTACATTAGGATCTGATGCTCCGCTTTAACCTCCCTGGCAGTATTCCTGAGTGTAGCTCGGGGTAAAGTTTCAGTACCACAAGCGGTAACCCTGAGCTACACTCAGGAATACACTGCAGCGCTGCTCCAGGATCTCTTCTGCACTTACCTTGTCCTGCACTCCCGCGATGTCCCCCCTGCAGTGTCCCCTGTAATGTCCTTCGGCCGATGCCGGCATCTGTCTTCTGGGTTCCGTCCCCTGCGATGTCGGGACGTACGGGGGACAGAACTGGCGGGAAATTTGAAAGTTGTAAAAGTGACATTCACTAAAATCACATAGTAAAACATTACTGTATCAAACCATTTCACATACATTTTGTCCCTAGGGCTTTGTCCTGTGCCCTGCCTGCATTTTTACTATTCTTTCTGCCTGGAAACTGAGAAATGTTCATGGCGTCCAAAAAGTTTCCCTTCAGATCAAAAGCGGTTTTAGATCAGCTAGAGAACAGCGATAGTAAATCAGAACCACTTGCAGAATTGAGTGATAATGATTCGTGAGTAAATTCGATATCAGACCCTGAAAATGATTTTGCGACTTTGCTCAGCGATGTGCGAACTTGGCGCTATATTTCAAATTTCAGTGTTTTTGGTTTGATTATATTATTGAATTAAATTTATTATTATTATATTATTATTATTTTTTTATGATTATTTATTAAATTATAATTTATGATTTCATGTTTCAAATTTTAACCTCCCGGTATGTTTACTAGACTCTTGTTCGGACAGATTTCAGTGAGTTATTCCTAAAAATTACAGGCCTACAATAAAAAAAATACATATTTCCATGCAAAAAAATGTACCGCTTTGAGCACAGAAATACTGACATAATCAGACCGTTAGGGAGGTTAAGTAGCAATTACAGATATTGTGTCCCCCCACCCCCAAGCCTTTGATTGGAGAGTGAAAGAAGAAACAACAGACTGATGAGCTCATCCCCCCTGTCACTCTGCTCTCTCCTCCTCCTTGCACTACTGATTGGTTCCTTGTGCAGCTTCTTCCCACTTCAGTCTGAACTGTACAGAGACTACTAGAGATACCAGATCACATTCAGGTATTTCTTACACTGCATTCAAAAATACATGAAATTATGTGTTAATGATTACAGTGCTGCATTAATGTGTGTCCTACATATCTGGATAGAGGTCACCTCTGAAGGACCTCTAATGGAAATCTTTGCTGTGGTAAGATGTAGGCTTGCTATAATATAGCTTGCATACTAATCTAATGGCTTTAATCGTTTTTAAAGGATAAGTTAACCTTTTGACCAAAAATAACAAATTGCAGTTAAAAAAATGTGCATTTATTTATTTTTGGTTGCAGGACCCTGTAAACCATTGCATCAGTGATCAGCAATTCGCTGGTGCAATGCAGGTCTCCTGCAGACATGTCAGTATATCTGCTTGCTGGAGCGCAGATACACAGACAGGAAGAATCTATGAACTGCCATGGTGCTCCACAGCGCCATGGTAGTTCATTGAGAACTGCAAGCCTACAGCTGCAAAGGCTGCTGGGACTTGTAGTTCATTTTCATTCACAGAACTCTGTGAATGAATGACACTGCTGTGTGGGCAGAGTCCTGCACAGCCACTCTCTATTCAAAAAGTGACAGTTTGTACGGGAAACTTCTCCCCATACTGCTGCCACAGGGAAGGGGTAAATTGGGTGGGGGCTGCAGCATTGGGAACGTGTTACATGTTCCACCCTAAAAACAGGTTCAACATGTAACGTTCCCAAAGGTGAACTTATCCTTTAAACCGCAGACCTGGAACAAGTAGGAAATTATGTTTTTCTTACTGTACTCACTGCATAAATGAACCACGCCAGGTACTGACCAAATTTTATTGGCACCCTAACAATTAGCATTTTAGGAAAGAGGTTGGTGATGTCACCCTCCTTATATCTTCCAGCTTTGGCTAACTATGTGAAATATTTTTTCTTTCTCTGACTTTTCCTCTGCAGACTTCCGATCTTACAAGGAGGAACTTTTGCCTTCCTAACGCCTTCCCTCGCCATGCTGTCCCTCCCACGGTGGAGATGCCCAGAGTGGACCCAGAATGCCAGTTTAGTGAATGCCACGTCTCCTGAATTTATTGACATTTGGCAGTCAAGGATAAGGGAGGTAAAACTATACATTCCACCTTTTATCATGAAAAAAACATCCTTGAGTTCTAGTCCAGTGACTTTGCATAACCTGGCTACACACTGTTAGTTTTCCTTCATTCAACCAGCTGGCTGAACAAAAAATAAAACACACAAATCCACACATACCAGGACATTGTGTTGTCACAGCTGCACCAACCAAGGTAAAAAATTTCCAGCATGTCCCTTCAACAGAAGTCAATCAATCGACTTCTGTCATCCAGGGGTGCTCATACACTAATTGAAATTCACCCAGTCCCTACTAAACTGGCCAAATGTGGCCAATGTTTGCCAATGAATGCCTATCTTTACTCTTACATAATATTATCAGCCTTCTTAGCAATGTTTTTCTACTCTGTGTTGTCTTCGGTCATTCCTACAATCCTTCTTGGGGTAATTTGGAATAAATCATTGACTAACCTACAAAACAATTTCCTGGGGCATGCAGAGAATCTTCACAGAGTCAACATGACAGACAAGTGATATATCCACAATTCATGTTTCATGATTATATCAGGACACTTACAGTATCTCCAATATTTGTTATTCTTCCAGGAGGCCTGATAAGTAAATCCATTGAAGAACTGTGATCAGTCAGCAGTGAGCCTCCTGTAGCCTAGGCCTCATGCACACTTCTGCTGCATGTTTAGGGGTTTTTGGCATTTTTTTGCCAGAGCCCCTGAACTCAACTCAATAAAAGTCTGTGTCCATGCACACATAGGCTTTTACCAGAGTTTAGAGGCAGTAAAATGCTCCTCTCCAGAACAAGGAATTGTGTCTTTTGACAGAAAAAAGCCAAGCGCAACAAAAATGCATGTAAACATGCAACGCATTTAGCATTTGGACTTTTTCAATTCAATGGCCAGAATAAAGTTTTATTCTGGCCAATGAAATGAATAAATGCCCAAGCGCTTGACGCAGGTAAACACGTGTAGATGCGGCACACGCGTTTACCAGCGTCAAGTTTTTTTTTTTGTTGCCAGAAACAAACACCAGGAGCAGTTTTAATGAAAACAACACCTCCTGCGCTCTAGGATGTCCAGTGTGTATGTACCCTAAAAAGGCTGTTTGCTGTGGATTACTACTTTATGCTTTGCTTTAAAGCGGTAGTAAACCGTAGGAAAGAAAAAAAAAATCTCCTGCAAGGTAATGTCATAATGTGCTAGTATGCATAGCAGACTAGCACATTATGTAAAACTTACCTTAAAACAAAGCCTTCCAGCGACGCACTGTCACTGCTTTAAGCTAGATAGTATTTACAGTGAAGGAAATAAATATTTGATCCGCTGCTGATTTTGAATGTTTGCCCACTCACAAAGAAATGATCAGTCTAAAAATCGAATGGTAGGTGTATTGCAACACAGAGACAGAATAGCAACAACAAATTCTAAATAAATGCATGTCTAACAAATTATGCACTGATTTGCATGTTCGTGAGGGAGATAAATATTTGATCCCCTATCATTCAGCAGGATTTCTGGCTACTAGGTGTCTTTCATACAGGTAACAAGTTGAGATTAGAAGCAGTCTCTTAAAGGGAGTGCTGCTAATCTCATTTTGTTACCTGTATAAAAGACACTCAAACAATCAGATTCCAAACTCTCCACCATGGCAAAGACCAAAGAGCTGTCCAAGGATGTCAGAGACAAAATTGTAGACCTATGTTTGTTGCTATTCTGTCTCTCAGTGTTACAATACACCTACCAGGAGCGGACTGACTATTTGGGAACTCGGGCACTGCCCAAGGGCTCGGGGTCAGTAGGGGGCCCCATGAGATGCCCTTGGTACCTTTTCATAGGCTTTTTTTGAGTGTGGGCAAGGACACAGGGCCCCCATGATCCCCTATTGCCCGGGGGCCCCATGAGTTGTCAGTCCGCCCCTGACACCTACCATTTGATTTTTAGACTGATCATTTGTTTGTGAGTGGGCAAACATTCAAAATCAGCAGGGGATCAAATACTTATTTCCTTCACTGTACATAAATTGTATACAATTGTGTACAGATGCCTCTGATGTACATTGATTCACAATCCGATAATCCTGTATACAATTAGAACATGTGCTATACCTGGCCTTACATAGTTCAAAATTCAGCTGGCTCAGCAGGGACCGTCTGAATTTCAGTCCTCTATGGGCACCCTGGTTGTACAGAAGTCGATCTATCGATTTGACTTGTATACAACCAGCCTGTCAGATAAATGCCGCCCAAACAGTACTGTCGGCTGTAGCTGGCTAGAGCCGGCAGAGCTGATCAGTCTATTATGATGGTGAACAAGTCTTCCCACCATCAGAATACTATAGCACAGCGGGAGCGAATCCCCCATCCACCTGGAATGTGTGGATGTGGGAATTGGGTCACTTTTTTTGTTCAACCAGCAACATCCATTTTGTAACGACTTTTGTCTGTAGAGTTTTTATTTTCTCCTGTCCCCTCATGAATATGCAGTTATATAGTCAAATCGTTTTTATGTTATTGATTTTTAATTCCCATTTTTTGTATTATCTGTGTGTTTGTTCCGGATGGTGGTTTACGCATATACACTAAGTTGGTTGCTTCAGCTGTCATGCATTTGGAGTTATGTGTTTGTTAAGTGAATTAATGGTTGGAGTCCATGCCTTCACCACTATTTATTTTGTGGTTTCATGTCATATTATTATGACTAAAGCTGTGTAGGCTGAAACACGTCAACTTACTGTATCTGAGATTCCTGCACTGTTTCTATAATAAATGAAGATTTTAAGAGCAGTAACGGCAGTACAGTTCTTCTTCTTTATCCTGTACTACATACAGCTGGGCTGCCATAGACATTCCTGTTAGCTTTTTTTTCTCCCATTCTCTCCTCTTCCTTATATCCCATGTTTCAACTTTTTCAGGTTCAGGGGGCCATCATGGTCGCATCTTGTTTCCAAATATTCATTGGGTTTTCTGGTCTGATTGGCTACCTCATGCGATTCATTGGACCACTGACTATCGCACCTACTATCATGCTAATCGCACTGCCTCTCTTTGAGTCTGCTGGCTATGATGCTGGGGCACACTGGGGGATATCAGCCATGTGAGTGAAAATCGTATATGGATTAGGCTAGATTTATGTAGGCTTGCAGGAACCTGTAAGCCACTGAGTACACTTATACAAGCTATGCTGTCCTACGAACGGTTAGCCCACAGCTAGCTAACAAAACTGACAGAAGCAGCGTTGTTTCATTCCAAAACTAAATTTTACTTCTGTGAATAGTTCCATGAAACTGCAATACAATCAGGTGAATAGAGGTTACAATATGCTTTTAAACTTGTCTCTTACAAATGCATACAATGAACACCTTTCTTTTGCAGGAAGCCTACCTTCAAATCCACATATGCATAACAGTGCAAATTATATATAAATATCATAACTTTAACAAACAATAAATAGATCTACAAGCATATGAGTATCAAAGGTGAAAAAGGAGCAGAGCTGTACTTGTGTGTTCCTCTTTAAACTGAAATGACACTGCAGTGAATTGTGGAATCTCTTTACTAACAAAACTGCAATATACTTCCTGTTCTTGTGTGAAAAAAATTAAAAAAATAAGCTGCAATTGCAGTGAACACCCAACAGATAGCTCCCTACTCAACATAATAATCTGATAGACAGTACACAAGCTGTTAGCCAATTGATAATCTGCTGAGTTTAGTTTTGAGATTAGGGATGTCGGGTTACTGGTTTTAAATTAAAACTCCACTTGTGTTAACAAAAAATGAGTACAGAATATTCAATTGCTGCTCAAGCTATTTTTAAAATTACCTTTCTATTTCAATCTACAGCTGATAAAATGTTTGAAATACTGTAATTATAACTTTAGGCATACCCTGCAATAGGAATATCATTTTTGGTGAGATACATCCTAACGCATGTTTACTAAAAGGGTGCCGATACTGCAACTCTCCTCATTAACCACTTTCCCGCCACCCTATAACAGATATACTGCTACAGGGTGGCATGGGTGCTCAAAATTATATATATATATATATATATATATATATATATATATGTGTGTGTGTGTGATTTTGCATTTCCGGATGGGGGTGCGCAAGCTTTTCGCGGCCTTGACTGTCAATCACCGGGTCCCAGCTGGTGATTACTCAGCGGCACCCGGTGATCGTGGAGCATTACCGACGGAGGGAGAGAACTGTAAGTAAACAATACAGTTCTCTTCCCTGTCAGCTCCTGCACACTACTTCACATGGCTTTGCATAGCAGAGCCAAGCAAAGCAGTGTGCTTACAGTGAAGCACACACACACAGCTTACAGTAAAACAGCACACAGCTAACCCTTTGATTGCCCCAGATGTTAACCCCTTTCTGCGCAGTGTCATTACTACAGTGTCAGTGCTTTTTATTAGAACTGATACTGTATTGGTGTCACTGGGGATGTCAGTGACACCAAGTCAGTTCCCCCCGTGTCAGAATGCCCGCCGCAGTCCCGCTGTAAGTTGCTGATTGCCACCATTACTAGTAACAATAAACAAAAAAATAAAACATTCCAGTATAAATACCGCCATTTGTAAACGCTATAACTTTCATGTAAACCAATTACTTTACACGTATTGGGGTGTTTTTTAGCAGACATGTCGCAGAATACATTTTGGCCGAAATTTATGACGATGTTTGATTTTTAAAATATTTTTACTGGATATGTTTAATAGCAAAAAGTCATTTTTATAGCGCAAAAAATAAAAACCGCACAGGTGATTAAATACCACCAAACGAAAGTTCAATTCATCGGAAAAAAGGACGTAAATTTAATTTGGGTGCAGCATTGCATGACCGCGCAATTGTCAATTAAAATAACGCAGCACCATAACAAAAAAATTGGCCTTGTCAGGAAGGGGGGTGAATCCTCTAGGGGGAAAGTTAAATTGCTGAAAATTGTATAGAACAGAAATAGGTAGGAATCTGCAACAAAGCACATTGATCACAAAGGGGTTGCTTTTTTTTCCTTCTCAGCAAAAGTGAACATATGCTTTAAAAAAGGAAAAATTAGATTTAGAATGCCTTTTCTGGCAAACAAATGTTTATGAAAACTGTGTGATCTTCACACTTATGCATTGCAATAACACACCATGCACATGTTAATCATTTAGAATGTCACCCAACAAACTTGACTTGCAGCTCATGAAAACACAGGTTGCTTTACCCTTTGAAGCCCAATTAAAAGCTCACACCGTTTTGTTCCTTAATAGTCCTGCACTCTGCACATTATGATTTGTGACTGATTTTTGCTTGGAAATCACTTAAAATATACGTTGGCAGAGCTGATTAACATCCACACCTCTCATCACAGGTGTCTTCACACAGGCTAGTTTTGTACAGAAGAGAAGGGGGCATGCCTGACAAGGTCTTTTACTTGCTGATAGTGCTGATTACTGAGTGCACTGGGTCTGGTCCCAGTCATACTGTTATGCACCATCTACAATTGCTGTAACAGGACAGTGGAGATTGTTAGTACAATGTCTGACTGCATATCCATTTTTGGCTTTAGTTGGGCTTTATTTATTTGATTTCTACTCATTTTCTAGGAAAGCCTTTTTCAAAATTTGCCTTGAATTTTTTTTTCTAATTTGCAGCATTGTTCTTTGTTGTTTTGCTCTTTTCATTCTCCTTTTCAGGACCACATTCTTCATAGTACTGTTCTCTCAGTACCTGAGGGATATTCCATTACCATTTCCTTATTACTCTAAAAGTAATGGAAAGTGGCAATACTCCAGGACCTACATCTTCCAGATCTTCCCGGTAAATACAAATCTGCATGCAAGCTTATTAATGTCCTCAACTTTTTTGTTTTTTACAGAACATTTTTTTCTTGGAAGTTTTCACAATGGAATACGGACATTAAAACAAATGTTCCCTAAGGAGGGGGTGGGGGGGGGGGGGGGGGGGGTAACAACTGGAGTTTAAAGCTGAACTTCAGGCAAATAAAAAGACAAAAAGTATTGAACTTTTGTGATCATTAATACATCATTACATTTATTTTTTTTTTAATGTGAGCAGTGTAAGTACCTGAATCTGTCCTTGCATATGTTTCTTGCAGTACCTGTACAGCAGGGCTGGAATGCAAGAGAAAGAAACATTACAAGGAGTCGATCAGTTCATGCGCTGACAAGAAGCATGCTCATAGCAGACATGGAAGGAATGACAGGGAGATGAGCTCACCACTGTGCAGCTTCTCCTTTCAGTGTCCAGTCACAGGCTCAGGGTGACCCGGGCACAGAAGTGGGCAAAATAATTCAGACTATCAGCTTAAGGATATCTAGCAGCCAAAAAAAAGACTGTAGGGGAAATGTGTAATGAAGCTGAACACTGCAGCAAAAGCTGGTTTATTTTATCTTTTAATAGGCCATTCATTTTTTTATCTATTATTTTTGGCTGGACTTCTGTTTTAAACCCTTTACCTACTTTATTCAAAACTGAAAAATTTTTTTTTTTTTTTTTTTCAAATTTAGATATACTTTATAGCACCTATAGACATACCTCCCATCTTTCTTAGAGGGGAAAAAGGAACATCTTTTAGTACAAAATATTAAAACGTATGTAAAGCCCTAACTTTTTTTTTTGAATAGGGAAGGGTCAAAACTCCTGTCAGTATATTTTTTACTATCTGTGTCCTGTTGGGATATTTCCCTTCACTTTCTGTCCTGATGATGCAATAGGAAGTTAGAGAAAATGTATTTGCAAATTAAAGGGAATTTCCTCTTAGGGCTCCTTCACACCCGAACAGGGTGCAGGAAACCTGTGTTCTGTGAGCATTTCCTGCCGCGCGTTCAAAACACACAAGGTGTGCGATCTGCTGGGGATGTTCATGAAACCCCAAGTGCAGATTGCAAAAGCAGTGTGTTTGCCTGCACTAGATTGCATGGCTTCACAGTATCATGCGATCTGGTTGCAGTGCATTTTTAAAGTGCTTATTTTGGTGCTATCTAGGGCAATCTCAGACCACTCAAATGAATGGGTGGAAAATCGCACTGCACGGAATCACAATGGAACGGGGACCACGTTCCTGGGTGATTCAGGTGTGAACTGGCCCTTAGACAATTGTCACTGGAACAGGTATCCCCGCTGAAAGATTCCCCCTTATTTTGAATTACCCATCATATTTTGTCTAAGTGATGATGGTCACCAAGGTAAACTAAGGTGGTGTATCTACCAATCTGGGACACAGACAGCAATACAACAGTAGAGATAGTAGTACAAACGACTCTCCTCTAATTTATTGTTCCTTTAAGTTATATATCAACTGAACTGCACTAGGAACCCCTGGAGCATGAACTGTAAAAGAGAGAGCATTAAACAGGGTTTATAGTTCTAAGTACAATACTAATAAAACATAATAACTTTATTGCAATTCATCCAAAAGTAATTCTGTGTATAGATTTCCAATTCCTGCACATACATATAGACTGTAAATTGTAAGCTTCTGGGCCATTCTGTACCGTTTTCTTGTTTAGAATAGTCCTGGAGCTTATCCAATGACTCCTTTCTCTTGTCACTTTTGCACAGGTCCTCTTTGGCATCTCAATCTCCTGGCTGATTTGTTATATCCTGACCATCACCAATGTCTTTCCATCCAATCCGCAAACATATGGGTATTTAGCTCGAACAGATGTGAAAGGGAATGTAGTGTCTCTTGCCCCGTGGTTCCGCTTCCCTTACCCAGGTATCATCACTAACACAAGCTGCAGAAAACCTGCTTATTTTGTACAGTTTATTAAATCCAGAATGATGTACAGGATTGTTTAAATTCTAAGGAATGTTATCAAAGTAAAGTCAACTATTTAACAGGCCAATAAACCATCAAGGGACACTTTCCTCATATAAATGACCCTTCAGGCTTGAAAGACTTTTGAATTTCCATATCTGTGGAGACCCCCAGGCATTTCCATTGTGCAGCCTATTGATCTCTGTTGTCGGCCATGTTAGATTGAGGAGGGGCTGACTAAAGTACTAACCGGAGGTGAGTTGCAAGTAGTAGAATATCTCCCTATCCTATGTGGCTTTATCTCTAACCATAGTATTAAAAAGACCCTACATCATTTACATGCAGATATAAAGTGGAACTCCAAGAATATTTCCACACCCTGTTCTGTAAAACAACTTTTTTCTCTCCAGGGTACAGATGGAAAAGCCTGGAAAAAAACTGGGGGAACAAAAAGGTGTGTTTCCACTTTTTCAAAGCTGTTTTTTTTCTGGAAAAATTGGAAAAAAAGAATTGTGGACTATGTTCTTTTAAAATGATAAATAATATATCTATCACATGGTATTCAAACTATAAAATATGATGACCTTAACTGCTTCCTGACTGCCCTATAGTAGAACTACTGCTGCAAGGCGGCAGGGCTGCGCAAAATCACGTGTATATATACGTGATTTTGTATTTCTGGATAGAAGGCTCGCACACTCGCCCTACTCGCGCCCTACCCATGCCACCATTGGAGGCTACAGCTGTTGATCACCGCATCCCGGCTGGTGATTCCCCGCCAGCACCCTTGACAGGGGAGAGAGTATCATTGACAGGGGAGAGGTCTGTATGTAAACAATGCAGATACCTCTCCTGTCAGCTCCAGCACACTGCTTTGTATTGCTCTGCATAGCAGAGCAATACAAAGCAGCGTGCTTATATAGTAAAGCACAGCACATAGTAAAACACAGCACACAACACACAGTTAATCCTTTGTTTGCCCCAGATGTTAACCCCTTTCTGCCCAGTGTCATTAGTACAGAGTCAGTGCTTTTTATTAGCACTGATCACTGTATTAGTGTCATTGGGATGTCAGTGACAGATAGTCAGTTCCCCCCCCAGTGAAAGAATCCCTGCCGCAGTCCCGCTATAAATCGCTAATTGCTACCATTGCTAGTATATAAAAAAAAAAAATTCCAGTATCTATACAGTAATTTGTAGACGCGATAACTTTAATGTAAACCAATTCATTTACATGTATTTGGATTTTTTTTTTAGCAAAGACATGTAGCAGAATACATTTTGGCCTAAATTTATGAGGAAATGTAAGTTTTACATTTTTTTTAATGGACGTTTTATAAAGAAAAAACGTAAAAAAAAGATTTTTTATAATAGTTTGTCTTTTTTTTGTTTATAGCGCAAAAAATAAAACCTTCGCAGGCGATCAAATACCACCAAAAGAAAGCTCCATTTGTGGGGAAAAAAAGCACATAAACTTCATTTAGGTGCAGGGTTGCATGACCATGCAATTGTCAGTTAAATAACGCAGTGCTGCATTGTAAAATATGGCCTGGCCAGGAAGGGGGGTAAATCCTCTGGAGGGCAAGTGGTTAAAGTGACACTAAAGCTTTGGTTTTTTGCTTTTTTTTTTTAAATAACAAACATGTCTATATTTACCTGCTCTGTACAGTGATTTTGCTCAGAGCAGCCCGGATCCTCTTTTCAGGTCCCCTCTGGGTCTCTCCCCTCAAGCTGTGCACCCAGGAAAAGCCGCTTGCCCTGGGGGCACCGCTGCATGCTTGTCCCCGAGCCACTGCTCTATGCGTCCATAAGACACATAGAGCTGCATATCAGCCCCACCCCCCGCTCTCTCCTCACTGGCTCACTGCCTGCGATTGACAGCAATGGGAGTCAATGTGCTCCCATTGCTGTCTCAGTCAAGTAGCAGAAAGAGTCTCTAGACAGCCGAGAACGTTGCTGGATCGGTGGGGGCTTAGGTAACGATTGGGGGGGAGGGGTCTGAGGGGGCCACTGCACACAGAAGATTTTTACCTTCATACAAAGGATACATGAAAGTAAAAAACCTTGAGCCTTTAGAACCATTTTAATTAAAGGTTTGAAGACAAGCAAATCATGGAATAGAATTCAAGTAACACTGTACTTCTCAATGCAGTTCTCAAACAAGAGAAATGTGCATATCTGCCACTAGGGGGAACTACAGGGGAAAGGCTCCAGTTGAGTTTGCCTGTGGGCTCCATCTTGTACCTCCTACAGTTGGGTGATCTTTGGGATACAGTAGATAGTTTCTGTCTGCTCTGGCCTTAATTGACAGGTAAGAGGGTACATTTGTCTGACAAATTAGTTTATCTTTATAACCTTTAAATGATTCCAATTCATGTTCTCCACCATCACAGCATAATGTTTACCTATACACAAACAACAAATGAAATTGTGGCGCAAACAAATGCTAATACACCATCCACATAAGTAAGCCTCTACCCCCCATTGATAAATGTGAAGATACGCTTGTATAACATAGGTAGTTCATAAAATGTTCATAAAAATCCCATAGGAAGGGTGTCACACTTCAGTAGGCAGCTTCACCTGAAACAGGAACAAATCTCTGAAATTACAAAAAGAAACACAAGGGGGTGCCAGCTAAGTGCAGCATCAATTGGTTTATTACGATTAAAAAAGCCAAATGCAAACTCACAGCAATATGAAATCAAATAGCTTATCTGCACCAATGCCATATTGGATGGAAGCCATCGACAGGAAGAGCTGCTTGGGACAGCAAACAGCAAGGAAACCAAGTCCAATGTTCCAGGAAGTGAGAAGAGCCACTGTGGATTGCAGGGCAGGATGTGATGTCATGCTTGGGGTGGGCTTGTTTCTATGGTAATGCATTTCAGAGCTTCTATTGGCTCCTTTCTCAAACCATTGAGAATCATAGACAGCTCTATTTAACAGGGGAAGTGAGTGCGGGTATCCCAGGCTCAGCCAATCACAAATTATAAAAAGAACTGTTGTCATTTGCTATCCTTTCTCTCCACCTTTGCAATGCCTCTTTATTGAGGGAAAAAAAAACAGGGTTTTTTTCTTCCCCATGGTTTAAAAACCTCCAGAAATTTTACATCTTTGCTCCATGGTCAAATGTTCAGAGTTCCAGAATTCTGCTGCTTTAAGGTACTGATAGCACATGGCTGTTAGTGATAAATTTTAACTAAGACTTTACCAATGTGGTTACTAACCTCACCTAACCTCCAGAATTCAGAGTGCCATTTTTTTAACTCAACAGTTTGGTTTATGATTGTTATTTATTTGTATTTCAGGTCAGTGGGGCATGCCTACCGTAAGTCTGGAAGGAGTGTTTGGTATTTTGGCTGGAGTTGTCTCATCCATGGTGGAGTCAGTGGGTGATTACTATGCTTGTGCTCGTCTTTCGGGGGCACCTCCTCCTCCCAAGCATGCCATCAACAGAGGAATTGGTATAGAAGGCATTGGTTGCCTGCTGGCTGGAGCTTGGGGCACCGGGAATGGCACCACATCATACAGCGAGAACGTTGGTGCTTTGGGAATCACAAGGGTAGGTGTAAGAGACATCACCAAGCCAGATACCAGAGCACAGTAGTAGACATGAAGATGGTCAAATATATTAGGTGATGCCAAATGCTTTCTTGGTTTTATTCAAGAGATACAACAGATCCCATTACTTATTACCATGGTTAACTGCTTCATAATGGGATGTAAAGCTCAGCTCCAGCCAAATGAGTGGAGCATCTGTTAGGGGATTTTTTTGGTGTTGTGCCCTTACTGGGGGAGATTTCCTCTCACTTCCTGTCAAAACAGAAACTGATGGGAAGTCTCTCCAATGAGGACACATTTTAGTGGCTTAAAGAGTTAAAACCTCTGAAAATTGTTTTTTAGTGCCCTCTATACCTAGCTATCCCTGTGACACACGCTAATGTCATTACTTATATAGGTGTCACAATGACAGGAAAATCTCACTAATGTCGTCATGGACTGAAAAAACTGAATAAATGTTGACTCTTCCCCACCAGGTTAGGCATTAAAATGAATCTCAAGCCAAAACTTCTTTTTTTTTTCTTTAGTTTTGGATAAAATGAGGAAGGATAAAAACTCCTGCAGGTTTCTACTGCCATAGAGACTTCTCATGGCTTCTTGTCCTGCTCACGTTTTACCAGACAGGAAGTGAGAAGAATTCTCTAACAGCAGCATGGCCAGAAATAAAAATGGCTTTCCTTAAAAGAGGAGGGGCAAATTGGAATCCGTCAGATTTTTATTTGTCTGTTTCTGCTGCAGATTTTCCTTCACTTTCTGTCTGGTGATAGTGTCGTCATCAGACAGGAAGTGAGGGTTATTTTTGTTAAAAAATGGAGATATACCATTTGGGTTGGTTTGATCCGAATCCAATCTTCAAAACTCTGTTTTGTATCTGCACCTACATATCAATAATTAACCACTTGAGGATTTGAACTTCAACAAAATAAATACGGTACGTCTTTAAAAATGTCAACAAAGTTTCTAGGATACAGCTTACGTCCTGCTCCTCTTCCCCTACCACAGTGCCCACTACCACTATTACTGACAATAACCGGGGTTCAAAATGACAGCTGGTAACTTCTTTGTATTACACAGCAGTAGCAGCTATCAAAATGCAGCTGCTTCTGTATAAAATGACATTTGCAGATAGTCTACTACAAGTTTCATTGAGCAATACAGTGTAACAAATGCATTGTTACATTGCATTTACCATTTCACTTGGGTGTAGATCAAAGGTGTGAACTGTTGATCTGCTTATGAAGTCAGTTAACCGCTTTACTGCCACTCTATAGCAGGAATACTACTACAGGGTGGCAGGGGGGTGCGCAAAATCACGTGTTTATATATATATATATATATATATATATATATATATATATGTGATTTTGCATTTCCTGTTAGGGGGCACGCATCCTACCCACACCACTATTTGCAGTCTTGGCTCACAAGCACTGGGTCCTGAGCGGTGATTACTCACCGACACCCGGTGATCGCCGAGTACTACCAACCGGGGGGGGGGGGAGAAAACTGTATGTAAACAATACAGTTCTCTCCCCTGTCAGCTCCAGTACACTGCTTTGTTTGGCTCTGCATAGCATTCGCGTTTGTCAATCACCGGGTCCCGGCCAGTAATTACCCGCCGGCGCCCGGTGATTTCCGAGCATTTCCGATAGGGAGGAGGACTGTTTTGTTTACTAACAGTCTTCCTCCCTTACGGCTCAGGCACACTGCTCTGGATAGCTGTGCAGAGCACAGTCATCCAGAGCAGTGTGCTTACAGTGAAGCACACACCCCTAGTAAAACACTCCCTGCACATAGTTAACCCTTTGATCGCCCCTCATATTAACCCCTTCCTGCCCAGTGCCATTAGTACAGTGTCAGTGCTTTTTTTTTAGCACTGATCACTGTATGGGTGTCAGTGGGGATGTCAGTGACACCAAGTCAGTTCCCCCCCAGTGTCAGAATGTCCTCTGCAGTCCCACTAAAAGTCACTGATCACCACCATTACTAGTAGAAAAAAAATCCCAGTATCTATACCGCCATTTGTAAACACTATAACTTTCACATAAACCAATTAATTTACACGTGTTGGGATTTTTTTTTTAGCAAAGACATGTCGCAGAATACATTTTGGCATAAATGTATGATGAAATTTGATTTTTTAAATTTTTTCACTCTACATGTTTAAAAAAAAAGTAAAAAATATTTTTTCTCAAAATTGTCATCTTTCTTTTTTCTAATAGCACAAAAAAAAAAAAAACCACACACCAGAGCTCAAATACCACTGAAAAAAAGTTAAATTTGTGGGAAAAAAAGGATGTAGATTTCATTTGGATGCAGTGTTGCATGACCGGCAATTGTCAGTTAAAGTAACGCAGCGCCGTGACGCAAAAGATGGCCTGGCCAGGAAGGGGGGGGGGGGGGAGGTAAATCCTCAGGAGGGCAAGTGGTTAATAGCAAAAAGTAAATAATATTGGAGGTCTTTTTTTTCATAGCGCAAAAAATTAAAAATCTAGAGGCGATCAAATATCACAGAAAGAAAGCTCTATTCTTGGGAAAATAAATGGACGTAAATTTAATTTGGGTGCAGCGTTGCATGACTGCACAATTGTCAAAGTAACTTGGCGCCGTAATGCAAAAAATGGCCTGGTCAGGAAGGGGGGAAATCCTCTGGAGGGGAAATGGTAAAAAAAAAAAAAAAACATTTTTTAAATAAAATGTATTTCTTAACTCCTTATTAACCCTTAGTTAAGCCAAAACAGTTCTAATTAACTCCTTCCTCCCCTTACATTTTTTTTCATTTTTCTTAGGCAATTACAAAGTTATTGCTAAATATACAGGCCCATAGTAGAAGTGTAAAAATTTCTAAAGCGTGGTGCAAACTGTTGGTGCTAAATAAATCCTGTATAATTATAATAATTGTTCTGATCCATAAGGGGGGGCAGACAAGTACATGAAGTGATTGGAATCAAGTTCCAAATGTTCGGTAACTAACTGGCACTACCGGCAAGGTCAGGCTTGCTTTGTAGTCGCCTACCTGCAGGATTTCTTTGAAGTGCTAGTTCTGTGACACTCTAATATTTGTCTCTGTCTTTCAGGTTGGAAGTCGGATGGTCATTATTTTCGGAGGGATAGCGATGCTTCTACTGGGCATGTTTGGTAAAATTGGTGCCATATTTGCCACTATACCGACTCCAGTAATCGGTGGGATGTTCCTGGTGATGTTCGGGGTAATTGCAGCAGTTGGGATGTCCAATTTGCAGGTGAACAGGAAAGACGTATATGGGGGGGGGGTCATATTTTGCTATAGGGCCAAAAAACTTTATTTCTTCATGTTCTAAATCCTGTGAGGTACAGTATCTAGGAAATTTTTAAAGATTGATTTACATTTGTTGGTGGAGTGACTCTTCTGCACATCTGCGCAAGCACCATAACACTGGAAGAGGGGTGGGATGGGGGATTGGTAGAGCAAATAGAGAGAAGACTGAAGTTCCTCTTTAGTAATACTAAATGATCCTGTGATTAGACAGTATTACGAGTAGCCATAAATTATTGAACTCATCTCTCTGTCACTCTGCTCTCTCTTTCTATCAGCATGACCCTTGCTCGGTAGCACAACTGATTGGCTTCTTGCACAACTTCTCCTTCTCCCAGTTCTGCTGTATAGGAGCTGCAAGAGGGCTGATACCTGGTCAAGTTCAGGTACTTGCACTGCTTGCATTTAAAAGTACATTAAGAGCCCCTTCACACTACAATGCAGTGCAGAAGTTGCCCTTGTGATCTGCTGTTGGGGTCAGTTCAAAGTTAACGACATGCCAAACACAGGTGACATGTGAACGACATGCCAAACACAGATAAAAAATGCATCATGTTTGCCCACACCGGATTGCATGGTACAAAAGTACGATGCAATGCGGTTGCTGTGCGTTTCAAAGTGCAACGCATGTACTACTGGCAGTGCAGTGTGATTTCAACCCATTCAAAATGAATAGGACTGAAATCACACTACACAGAGCTACAGGTGAAATGTACAGGAAAGGCACAGCGTTCCTATATGATTCACATACAGTTTATAGTGTGAATGGGCCCTTATGAATACAGAGCTGCTTTATTTTGTTTTTTTTTTATGTCTGACTGGAGATCAACATTAAGAAACGCTTACAAATATGAACATTCTCTGGACCTTGGGCACAATACTTTTGGTACACATGAAGATCTGTTGATTTATTTTTACAGTATGCCGACATGAACTCCTCCAGAAATATATTTATAGCTGGATTTTCCATATTTTGCGGCCTGACCATTCCAAACTGGGTGAACAAAAATGCTGAACTTTTAGAAACTGGTAAGGAACAGAGCTCGGTGAACTGTACCAATTCTGTAGGGTTTTTTTTTTTTAATATGGCCATTAGACTTGTTGTTTTGCTATATGCCATTCATCATTTTACATCCAGTTAAAGTGGGCCTGTCATCAAACGGTATTATTTCATATTAGGTCCATGCATGAAATATGTCAGTGTAACAATTCCGTATTACCCCTCACAAAGATCCCAGTACTCCTCCTTTTAGCGAGCAGGTAAAAAAAAAAAATGATCTCCTTCTGAAAATGGTAGTTCCCTGTCTGTCATCCTGTCCTCAATTCACTGACCCAGACCAAGGGTGAGTAGGGACCTTTACTCTTGTTTTGACTCAGTCACCGAGGGTATTAAAGCCATTGGCTCAGCATGGTAGCCGAGCAGATAGCTTTTCCAAAGGAGGTTCAGCAATGGCAGCCTTTATATATGCTTCTCTTTAGTATAACTTTCCTTTAACTTCACCCCAATATGCAGAACAAGTCAGGGAATGGCTCCTTCCATTGAAGTCTTTCACATAGAGATAGAACTAAGAATATGACTTTCTTTTCTTCCCAGGAATCATTGGGTTAGACCAAGTGATCCTCGTTCTGTTAACTACAGGAATGTTTGTCGGAGGTTCCCTAGGCTTCATACTAGACAACACCATACCAGGTAACCGAGGTTTAGCACTAAAGAAGACCTGTCTATGAATTACAAGATCAGTCCACCCAAAATTGATTTAAAAAAAAAAAAAAAATAGGCGGAGACTGGTGGGATAAATCAACCACGGGTTAATAGTGGAGACCCCAGGACTGGGATTACCTGGTTTCTATTTACAGCTCTGCATGGTAATTGATTGTATAGGTGGGTGGGCAGAGGATAGTAGGACTCGCAGGAAACATTAAAGTAGCTGGGAGGCATTTGTTTCCTCAGTTGAATCCATTGTAAATTGAAATCTCAGTCCCTTTTAAGCGCATTAAAAAATAGAATTTTGATTGTGGTTTTGCATTTGTGGTTAATTCTTATCACTTTTGAAGAAGATGATGATTTTGAATACATTTAAACCCCTCTCCCTTTGTGTTATACAGATGAGGAGAGGAGGAGGTATTCTGTAGTGCAGCAGAGGAGGAGAGGGGGAGGTATTCTGTAGTGCAGCAGAGGAGAAGTCAGGCAGAGCTGACAACACGGTTTTAGATTTCACTGCTACAGAGGCAGTGTTGTCAGTTAAAAGTTACACTGGATTTGTGGTTGGAACAGTAGGTATATCTTTCTGTACGTGCAGTATTTTTGAGGGATAAAACATGATGAAATGTACATACATTGCAGATATGCACTGCATGTTTTGTGTTTGGTCCATCGCATTAAATGAAAATAAAGTATGAAAATGGATCAAAAGTGTTGTTTAGGTTTGTCCTCCTATTATATGGTTTTTGGTAAATCTAAACCAAAAATCTGCAGATAATTGTATAATGTATGGCCAGCCTTACAAGCTATGGTACCAATCATTGAAAATTGAACACACCTGATCAAACCTGATGTACTGATCTCAGTTCTTGAAACACTAACAAGCCAGGACAGTACAAATACCCCCCAAATGACCCCTTTTTGAAAAGCAGACATTCCAAGGTATTTAGTAAGATGCATGGTGATTTTTTTGAACTTTTAATTTGTTCCCCACAATTCTTTGGAAAATGAAGTAAATAAAATGTGTTTTTTTTTTTCACACAACTGTTATATTAACAGGTTATTTCTCTCACACAGCATATGCATACTTGCAGCTTCACCCCAAAACACATTCTGCTGCTCCTCCTGAGTATAGGGATACCACATGTGTAAGACTTTTCGACAGTCTGGCCACATACAGCGGCCCACCATCCACGTAGCACCTACAGGCGTTCTGGAGGCATAAATTACACATCTCATTTCCTAACTACCCATCACATTTTTGAAGGCCCTGGAGCACCAGGACAATGGAGTTACCCACAAAGTGACCCCATTTTGGAAATCAAACACCCCAATGTATATTCTACGAGGCATAATGAGTCTTTTGAACATGTCATTTGTTTCCACAAGTTTTCAGAAAATGTGGAAAGAAAATTAAAATATATATATATTTTTTTACACAAAGTTGCCCATTTATAAGATATTTCTAACACATAGCATGTACATGCCAAAAATTACACCTCAAAATACATTCTGCTACTCCTGAGTATGGGGATATCACATGTGTAAGACTTTTCCACAGCCTGGCCACATACAGAGGCCCAACATCCAAGTAGGACCTACAGGCATTCTGTAAGCATAAATTACACATCTCAATTCCTGACTACCTATCACAATTTTGCAGGCCCTGGAGCACCAGGAGAATGGAATTACCCTTGGATGCCTGCCTAACTTCTGGGAGTTCTGCGCTGCTTGCACTTGCCACTGCGCTACTGGTGGACACCGGCTCCTCCTCAGATCTCCTGAACTCCTCTTTGTTTGAACTCTCTCCTCCTCAGAATCTGTTGCTGACCCACTGCTTTCAATTGGCTCATACTCAGAATCTGAGTCTGACAAAGAGAGTTCCCCGCTACTCTCGTCCGTCATACTCAGTATCTGAAAAGCCTCCTCGCTGGTGTATAATTTTTTATACATTTTGATGTGTTCACTGGTACAGATGTTGATTTGACACTGGTACACTGTGACAGATACTGTGCACTGGTAAACTGTGACAAATGTGGATTTGACCCTGGTAGGCCACGGCAGATGTTGATCACTGGTACAGAAGTGGATGAGCACTGGTGCACTGTGACAGATGCAGATCACTGGTGCAGATGTGAATTTTACACTGGTACACCATGACAGATGTGGATCACTGGGACAGATGTGGATGACCACCAGTACACCGTGATGAATGTGGATCACTGATACTGTGTGACAGATGTTGATCACTGGCAAGGTGACAGATCTCGATCACTGGTACGGTGACAGATGTGGATCACGGGTACTGTGACGAATGTAGATCATGGGTACTGTGACAGATGTAAATCACGTGTACTGTGACAGAAGTGGTTCATGATTGCTGTGACAGATGTGGCTCACGGGTACTGTGACAGATGGGGCTCACGGGTACTGTGACAGATGGGGCTCACGGGTACTGTGACAGAAGTGGCTCACGATTACTGTGACAGATGTGACTCACAGTTACTGTGACAGAAGTGGCTCACGATTACTGTGACAGATGTGACTCACAGTTACTGTGACAGAAGTGGCTAAGGATTACTGTGACAGATGTGGCTCACGGTTACTGTGACAGATGTGGCTCACACTTACTGTGACAGAAGTGGCTCACACTTACTGTGACAGAAGTGGCTCACGGGTACTGTGACAGATGTGGCTCACGGGTACTGTGACAGATGTGGCTCACGATTACTGTGACAGAAGTGGCTCACGATTACTGTGACAGATGTGACTCACGGTTACTGTGACAGATGTGGCTCACGGGTACTGTGACAGATGTGGCTCACGGGTACTGTGACAAATGTGGATCATGGATACTGTGACAGATGTGGATCACAGATATGGATCATGGGTAATGTGACAGATGTGGATCACTGGTACTGTGACAGGGTGATGTGTGGGGGATGTGCTTGTGTGTACTTGCTGATCGGCTCTGCTTCTCCTCACTCACAGGCTCTGTGTGAGGAGAGGCAGAGCCAATCAACTGAATGGCGGCTTTGTTGACATCACATGACGGCTGTGATTGGACACAGCCATCATGTGATCAGAAGGGCCAATCATAGGGCCATTCTGCCCGAGCGGTGTTGCGCTGCACGCCGAGAGCATGCAGCTATGCGGCCAAGAGTCCATGCTTGTGCGCATGTTCTGAAGGACGTTCCTGAAAGTCCACTCAGAATGGCAAAGCTCGCACCTGACCATTTATGTGCAGTGGCCAGGTGGGAAGCGGGTTAAAGCAGAATTGTTATCCTCACCTTGCTGGATTCTTCTGGCCTAGCTGCGCAGGTTCAGCCTCTCCTGTGGCAACTTTCCCTCCGTACAGGTTGTAAAGTTCCTATAAAAGGGAGGCCTCCCCCTTATCCAGGTACTGGGGTGCAGGATGCTGGTCTCTAGGGATTACACAAGTGTCATCCTGATCTTAATGACTCCATGCATGGACATTTATTGGACGTCCTGCTGGCTAGGAGGCGTTCATGTGGTAAGGCGCACCACATGCTGCACAAGACCATAGTAATCAGCTGCTGCTATACTGTGAAGAGTTGCCTACAGGTATATGTTGTTATCTTGCACTGCCAAAGCAGGCACTGCACATGTGAATCTTTGCTGGCTTGTTGTTCACAGTTCTGTCTGTTTTGTCAATACCTCACAGGTTGTGGTTTGTTTGTGCAGTACTACCAATACATAGGCTGATAGTACAGGTGTTTGCCGTTGCAGAGTTGAGTCTATCCCATTAACCCAATAGCACCTGGCTCTGCAGGTTTGGCTACAGTCAGGTCCATAAATATTGGGACATCAACACAATTCTAACAGTTTTGGCTCTATACACCACCACAATGGATTTGAAATGAAACAAACAAGATGTGCTTTAACTGCAGACTGTCAGATTTAATTTGAGGGTATTTACATCCAAATCAGGTGAACGGTGTAGGAATTACAAAAGTTGGCATATGTGCCTCCCACTTGTTAAGGGACCAAAAGTAATGGGACAGAATAATAATCATAAATCAAACTTTCGCTTTTTAATACTTGGTTGCAAATCCTTTGCAGTCAATTACAGCCTGAAGTCTGGAATGCATAGACATCACCAGACGCTGGGTTTCATCCCTGGGGATGCTCTGCCAGGCCTCTACTGCAACTGTCTTCAGTTCCTGCTTGTTCTTGGGGCATTTTCCCTTCAGTTTTGTCTTCAGCAAGTGAAATGCATGCTCAGTCGGATTCAGGTCAGGTGATTGACTTGGCCATTGCATAACATTCCACTTCTTTCCCTTAAAAAAACTCTTTGGTTGCTTTTACAGTATGCTTTGGGTCACTGTCCATCTGCACTGTGAAGCGGCGTCCAATGAGTTCTGAAGCATTTGGCTGAATATGAGCAGATAATATTGCCCAAAACACTTCAGAATTCATCCTGCTGCTTTTGTCAGCAGTCACAACATCAATAAATACAAGAGAAGCAGTTCCATTGGCAGCCATACATGCCCACGCCATGACACTACCACCACCATGCTTCACTGATGAGGTGGTATGCTTAGGATCATGAGCAGTTCCTTTCCTTCTCCATACTCTTCTCTTCCCATCACTCTGGTACAAGTTGATCTTGGTCTCATCTGTCCATAGGATGTTGTTCCAGAACTGTGAAGGCTTTTTTAATTGTCGTTTGGCAAACTCTAATCTGGCCTTCCTGTTTTTGAGGCTCACCAATGGTTTACATCTTGTGGTGAACCCTCTGTATTCACTCTGGTGAAGTCTTCTCTTGATTATTGACTTTAACACACATACACCTACCTCCTGGAGAGTGTTCTTGATCTGGCCAACTGTTGTGAAGGGTGTTTTCTTCACCAGGGAAAGAATTCTTCAGTCATCCACCACAGTTTTTTTCCGTGGTCTTCCGGGTCTTTTGGTGTTGCTGAGCTCACCGATGCGTTCCTTCTTTTTAAAGAACGTTCCAAACAGTTGTTTTGGCCACACCTAATGTTTTTGCTATCTCTCTGAT